TTGCAATGGTGAATAAGGTTATTGGTGACGTGAATGATATAATTACAGGTGAGGAAGTGTGTGCAGTTCGTGAGATTGAGTGAGTTGAGGGGATTGTGTTTAATTAAGTTAACAAAATCAGCTGGATACATCCCCTGACGTCCTCCTCCTACTTGGCAACACTGTCCTGCTGCCATAATTACGCTCACTGTACTGTTTCATGTTACCAATACACCTTTTGTTTGTCAGTAACTTTATCTGCTATGTTAAATTTGGGTGATGTAATTTTAAAGTTTCACAAGAATTATATTTTTGAAACCCAGAAGAGAACCGAGAGGCAGACTGGGTGAAAAAGGAGTGAAGCCAACATACCGCGTGTACCTGAAGGTGTACTCTTCGTTCACGCGTCGTGGCTGGGCCCAGGACAGATTATGCTGGTGCCTGGTGGTCAGGGCGGCCTCCTGCTGGGTTCACACCGATCTTACTCATCGCAAACTGTTCCTGTTCACCTTCCAGCACTCCTGCGTCTTCCGTACTGTTATTTCTCTTCATCACAGAACATACATACACTTCAGGAGACTGTTCATCAGCACGTCTGAGTTAATGTTTACAACACATTGCTATCTGTTACAGCTCATTATTCAGCCCCGAAGCCTCCTCTACAGTATATCGCACAACACAACAGTCACCGGGCAGTATCTCTGTTCAACATATACCTTCATTGTACACCAACTTTCTTGCAGAATAAACCTTCCTCTGATAATCTTTCCATCAGCAGTCAACTAGTGATATATCTAACCTTCCTCAGTCCTACTGCACAAGTTTAGCACACACATAAAGTTTCTTCGTGACGTATTGGTAGGTAAGACTCAGTCAACTTGCAGCACGGTTACCACCCTTGTGTGAGTGTACAGGACTCTCAGTTACTCACAGCTTATGCCGCAGGGGGATTTCTAAGCGCCTGTCATACAGGAGGATGAATAGAATCTGCAAAGACAGCGTCACTCACAGAGGAAAGCTTACAGCATCTGCCACCTGCATCTGCTACAGAAGTAGAACTCCAGGTGGCTGCCACAGAGGGGAGTTCACAGCAATTGCCTCTTCAGCGTTTATCATAATTGAAATGCCACAGCGACTGTCAGAGAGAGGAAGCAGGCCAGCCTAGAGCGAGGGGAGGCAGCGTGTGCGGGCAGGCTGGGCGTCACATCACAGACAAGTTTCCCCCGGCGGGTCGGTCGTCAGGGAGACTGGGAGTGGCAGGCAGCCTGTTGCGTCCCTCGCTCACTCCCTCACTCTCACTGCTGGAGAACCTCGCCACCACCACCCCGGGACGCCCAGGTATCGCCCAGCTCATTACGAGGAGGCACCACACTGTATAAAGGTACAGCATTGTATGGAGGAAATAAAAAATAAATAAAAATAAATAAAAAATATTCATGTAAACAAGAAAAAACAAAACAAATAGAATAATAAACAGAACAAGAGACGAAAGAATAACAAGCAAACAAAAAAAACTCATCACATCGAGGGTCATGTTATAAAGCATTAAAGAAGAGATAGAAGAAAATAAAGCAATACACAAAAGAGGATCAATAGATTAGGGACAAGGAAGAAACAGACCATAAAGGAACTGATAAGAAGAGGGTCCAAACGCAGACATAAAGTAGAGGAAGAGGAAGGGGGAAAAGTAAAGGAAGAGGAGGCGATAGAACGAAAAGAAGTGGTAAAAGAGGAGAAAGAAGAGATGGGGATAGTGACAGAGGTAGAAGAAGATGAGGAGGAAAAGGAAGAGAAAAAAGATAAGGGGGAAATTAACCAAAGAAGATGAAAAGGGAAAAGAAGAGGAGTAAAAGGAGAAGAGTTAGAGAAAGAGGAGGAAGTAGAAGCTGTTCTCAGGTAACGCGAGGCAACTGACACCTGGACACGCCCTCGTCCACACTACTCACACACATACACACACACACCAGGACACGCCTATGTTCACACCCCACACACACACACACACACCAGGACATGCTCTAGTCCACACCACCCACACACACACACACACACACACACACACACACACACACACACTAACAAAAATATACTCGGGATTATGGCATCACCACACATATGGTACACTACAGCATTCCACTAGTTTTGCTGAGACTCGGTTGAGATAGTAGTTATTATCGGAACGTTATGAAATATATTATCACCCTTCACAATGGCTAGTATGTCGACTGAAAACAATACGTCACGGAAGGGAAAGTTTGAGGAGGAAGACAAAAAATTTCAAGAATTACGGACCTATAACTATTTCTTTGTGGAATATAGGTCAAAGAAAATCATTTATTTGATTTGCCAAAGTTGTGTAGCTGTGTGTCGGGAGTATAATTTCACAGGGGCATTATTTATTCTAGCATAAAGTATATAAAGAAATCACAGGTGAACTGAGAAAGTAGAAAATAAGGTCTTTGATCCATGGTGCCGATCTCCAGAAAACATGTTCACTCAGAGGAAGAAAGAAGCACAGCATTTTACAGAAGTGAGCTATGAAGTTACACATCTGATAACAAAATGTTCACGGTCATTTACAGATGGTGATTTTGTGATAAAAGCGTATGGTTATTAGAGCTCAAAAACTTTGTCCAGATGCAGTTAAGAAATTTGAAAACATCAGCTTGGATCACATGACAGTGCAACTCAGAATTCGTAAATTTTAAAGTGACATAGTAGACCAGCTGAAAGAGAAAGGTAATAACTTTTCTGTAGCCGCTGACGAATCAACAGCTCAGTTATTGGTATTCGTACGTGGTGTAACAGACGACTGTACTGTTTATGAAGATTTTGTTGGTCTCAGTTCAATGAGGGGGCAAACTAAAGGAAGTGACTTATTAAGTGCACTTCTGTAGCAAATTAGCTCTATTGAGTTAAATATAGACAACTTAGTTCGCTTAACAACTGGTGGGGCTCCTGCAATGATGGTACGCACAAAGGTATGGTCCCACTGTTGATCAAACACCTTTGTCAGCGCAAAATTTTACTGATACAGTTTTAGTGCATTATACATCAACAAAATTTGTGTGGGAAAGAACTGAACTTCGAAAATGTAATGAAAGGTGTACTATCACAGTCAACTTCATACTCTTACTTTTATCCTCTCGCGAGCTTTGCATCATCGCCAATTCAAGTAATTTCTAGAAGTAATTGAAGCTGAGGATTATTCCACGGTGATCTACTGTTTTTCACAGAGTTAAGTTGGGGAAATACACTGCATCGATTCATCAACCTTCGATGAAATCATCATATTTCTCAATGAAAAAAGGTAAAGTAGTTCCAGAGCTTGAAAATGTGGAGTAACTTTGCAATCTAGTATTTATTGTTGATATTGCCAGTCATCCAAGTCACTTGAATGCCAAACTTCAGGGGAGTAACCAGCTTGTTTCTCAAGTCGCAAATCATGTGTCAGCTTTTGAACAAAAGCTTAACCTGCTTCAGTCACAACTCATTAAAGGAGAGTTGGGACACTTTCCAACATATCAAACTATGCTTCAAAGGCAGAGTGTACTGTACATTACTAAGCTGAAAACTACGGAACACAGGAAAACTTCGGGAAGCATTTGTTAGGCGTTTTGGAGATTTCAAGAAAGAACAGAAATTTTACAATTATTCAGTATCTCTTCTCTGTATCTCCTGAAGACATTGAACTACAGGCCCAGTTAGAACTGATTGATCTTCAGTATAGTGACATGTTTCGTGCTAAGTTTATGGACGGGAACTTACTCAAATTCTACAAGTGCTTGCCTAAAGATTAATATCCATAGTTGTGAAAGAAGGCTGCTATTTATACATGCTTATTTGGATCCGCCTACATCAGTAAGTAAACGTTCAGTCTGTTGAATCTTAACAAGTCGAAGATTCGAAATAGGCTAAATGACGAAAAATTGCACTCAGTTTTGCGAGTAGCGGCCACAAAGATTGAACCCAACATTAAAAAGCTCGTCTCCGAGTCACAATTCTAAACATCACACTAAAAAAAAACTCGTCACGTGATAAGTTAGGTAAGCACATTATTTAATTATTAAGACTCACGGTAATAAACCTACTGATAAAGTTACAGGTAAATTACGGTGTATGACAGCCTGTTGTTAGTTATCTCCGTTTTAAATTATAGCATTACATTTGAATTATTTTATTATTTTTTTATTAAATGTACGTTTGAGTAAAGATTCTGAATATACAATTAAAATATCTAATTATGGGGTCCTCGCTCAATAGGCAGTTTGGTGATGTGGTCCCAGAAGCAAAAAGGTTGTGTATCCCTGTAAGTGGAATATTCGAAGCAATCACCGTAGACTGTTACATGTTCAGTTGGTGTAGCTATTAAATACTTGTATATACTATATATATATTATATATATATATATATATATATATATATATATATATATATATATATATATATATATATATATATATATATATATATATATATATATATATATATATATATATATATATTGTCCACAATGGAAACGTGGACAGGATAAATCTCGATAAAATCACACAGGAAAAGGGGAAACAATGGAGCACTTTAGACTGTCGTTGCCTCTGAAGATGTCTTGAATAAAGACGAAAGCTTAGGTGCTCCATTGTTTCCCCTTTCTTGTGTGATTATATATATATATATATATATATATATATATATATATATATATATTAGAGCACATCATCATCACCCTAACCATTCTTCGTACAAGAACATTAGTACGTATCTACAAGTTATCATGTAAAATATAAAAACTACAAGGTCAATAACCTCACGAAACTAGCCAGTACGCATAACAGTTCATCTTAACAACCCCGTGGCATCCCGGTAGCGCCATCACATAATGACGTTGCGTAGGATTTTAATTTGTGTTTATTTGCAAGCAAGAAAAAAATTGCACTTGTGTAAACAATAAGTGATGTATGGGTGAATGTCGAGGTATACAATAGATTACCCTAAAACGTAAAAAACGGAGCTGTTACCATTTTCTGTGGGGCCTCGTACCACCACCAGCTGAGCCTGACAGTCCCGCACCAAGACGTAAACAAACCTGTGAGGACTGATAGTAACCCAACCTGTGGCTCCCCGGGAATACTCTCTGGACCGGTGGATATGCCACAGACTGCAATAAATAAAATAAGTATCCGAAATTTTAATATCTTAGCAATTACGTCGATGATGATTGTTGTTACAACTGTAGCTATCGGCACTCTGGTGGGTGAGTATTGACAATTTTACCTACATTTACTTGTTGCGTTGTTCTCAGGATTAGTTCATACCCCCAAGGGTTGCTGAATATAGTCTCATTCTTATAACAGCCCCCTAAAATGGTTACCTGCATTTTGATGTGACTCCCTACACTTAAACCACACATCAGAATGCTATACATCACTTACTTAATTTGGTTTTCTACGAGGATGCCTGGCCACTAAACCCGGATCTCTCAAGTTTAATGTCTGAAGTACATATCTGATGCATCACTTTACGTAGACTTTATGAATGTGCCGAAAATGATGGTCAAGTTTTTGTTTTTTGTTTTTTGTGTGTATTGGCTTTGATATCTATACTGGATACCGCTTATTAGCTATGTCCGTTTGCCTTCCTAGTTACAAGTCCCTTCCGTTTGTCAGATACCTTTACATTTAAACACACACACACATTTCATCCTTGATACACAGGTATATTCATTCACTTTCTTTCTTTCTTGTACTGTACATCCATCCATATACCACCCCTTCATGTATACATACCCTGTGCACCACATACTGTGCACACACTCCACACCACCTAGTACCACACTCCACACCACCTAGTACCACACTCCACACCACCTAGTACCACACTCCACACCACCTAGTACCACACTCCACACCACCTAGTACCACACTGTACATCAACTAATTCGTTCACTCTCACCAGCACCATCACCGTGGACTCACACAACAGTGAAAGGGACCAAGTGTGTGGCTCAGCACAGCTCCCAGCACGAGTGGTTCTGGCCTTCTGGTGTACACAAATGCCACAGTGTCCCAGCTGGCGACCCCCTCATGCAGAACCACCACCACCACAACATCTCTCTGCGTCACATCATCTTTGCTTTCCAGGTACAGTATCGTTATATCACCTTGCTTGGATTAGGGGAGACAGGATAGGGAATATATCGGAATTGGGGATAAGGGATTTTATGGTACAGGTGGTATTTTTTAGTTTTTTCTATGCCTATTACTACATCTCCTGTATAAAAATATATTGTTTAAAATATGTATCATACTGTTCTGTATTTAATTATCTGACTCTTAGGTAGATAATGGTTCTTGGTAAAATTTCAGTAAACAATAGTGTACAGTATGTTGTAGTTAGATACCATTATAGATGGTGTACAGTATAGTGTGTCCTGTGTCTGTTGGTGTCCCCAGTTCACCGATGTGTTGAGGCTTTTGTCTTTCCTCTCCCTCTTGTATTGTTAGGAAGTACTGAGTCACCACCTGCCATCATTTTTCTAATTTCTGTGTTTAAATGTGATAATTTTGAAGTTCACAAGGAACTCAATATAATCCATTATCTATACAACAAACATGTCATCAGTTCCATAAGTACTCTGTACTGTATTGTCACTTAAGATCTTTTTTTTTGTCAGTCACAACCTGCGACTTTACGTGAGTCTTGCTGAAATCTTGCCAGTTAGCTTTGGTATCTATAGACGGTGACACTATGATTTGGACTTTGTTCTGAAGGTAAAATAAGTATTATATGCTTGCGACATCTTCATATAGTTGCCACTTGAGGCGAGTTTAAAAAATTGGGGGTGGTTTGAAATACTGTAGTGTTTTACGCATGCACACTGGTGGTAGAACTGCAAGTCCCGTAGTAACATGTAGTACAGTACGTGAAAATACGAGACCCTACTCCATAGCATATAATAAATACCACGACTGCACTATCAAATACTGGAATGAATTACTTAAAAGTTACTGTTTAGTTAAAAAATAAATGGAATAGTCATGGCGTCCTGATGTCATCAATGCTCTCCTCTTTACATGTTATAATGCGAGACCCTCTGAACCATCATAAATGTATTGGCCAAAAACATTATCCCGACTATTGTTTGTTCACATTGGCACCCGAATCAAAACAGTCAGGTTTGATAGCCTAAATAAATTCTTATGATATACCGGGTAACAAGTAAAAATGATTCCTTAGCTTGAGTTGGTCGTCATGGAGATTCCTTGGACACTTAGGGATCTATAGTAGATTACATCATGATGAGTGTGAGTCTTGGTTTCCTCATATTAAATAAGCTAAGTTGTTATACTATTTAGTTGCTAGAAAATGCTAAAACATATAGTGGATTGTAGATATCCTCACCAGAGATTGGTATGCATCCATTCCTATGTTGCGTGTTGCTTGTACGCATTTCCTGGCTAATTTAAATTATCTTCTAAACTATAAATTATAATTGTTTTTATTCAGTCTCTCTTCCGTCCATATTATCCAGATCTGCCATCTAACTTGTCCATAGCTTCTCTCCACATCAGTCACTTTCTCCAGCTACAATACATTGTCTTTTTCTCTGGTTCCACGTCCTTCCTCTTTGTATACCACATTATCACCCTCCGTCGTATGATTCATCTACTGCTTCTGTTCCACTTTAAAATATTTCACTTCCAAATATATAGTCTCTAGGATTTAAACTTGCACATTTCCATTCTACTATATATTATTATTCTTAATTAACTGAAAAAATTCTTTCAAGTAAACTAATTACAACCCCAAAAATCAAGAGCTAAGAAAAAGTTGGCAATTTATCCATGACTAGCAATATGCCAGAGAGTACAGGTATCTTAGAAATAACAAGAAAACATGACAACACAAATTGTGGGTTTTGTTTAGAACCTGGAAAATTCATCATCACATGAAATTATGTAAGCAACCACATGATCTTGCTCCCCTCTACCTGTACAGTAAAATGTTTAGAAATACAGTACAGTGGTCCCTCGGTTAACGAGCACAATCCGTTCTAGAAGGTTGCTCGTTAACCGAAAAACTCGTTAACCGAAACCATTGTTTCAATGGGTTTTGGGTAATTGGTTCCAGCCCACCGAAAATTGCCTAAATTCAACAAAAAAGGTAGAAAAGTACACTTACTTTGAGGTGTGTATGTAGAAGGCTCCTGGATGATGATGATGATGGTGGGAATTAGAATGGGGGTGGAGGAGAAGGGAGAAGAGAAGGCATTGGGGTGGAAGAAAAGTTACCCCATGGCACCATTTCACCCATAAAATTTTAGTTCTCTTGGTGTAATTCAAGATTATTTTCTTTAAATCAACACTGCACTGCATTATATATTGTCAATATGTAAATTAAATTTCAAAATGACCAATAATTTGCTTGCAAACACAGAAAAAAGCGTTTAGTTGAAGAGAATCTCGAGCAAGATGTTACCTCCACTGAAAAGACACAAAGACTGACGCCTGTATGGTGTGTTGAGAGGCTGGATGGCGAGCATAAAACTAGTTTAATTACCTTCAATTATGTTCAATAATTGTTAAAATGACTAAAAAATTTATTATTAAACTTTTAAAATTATTAAATAGTATAAGCTTTTTGATATTTGCTAAAATGGTAAGGAATTTAAGCCCTAGAACCGATTACTGTATTGGCGGACTAATACTACAGCTGGTGGACCGCCAAATACAAGCGAAAACATGTTCAGGTCGGCTCGTATGAAACTCGCTAATCGAGGGATTGCTCGTTAACCGAAGTTAAGAATCTTATGGAAGGTAACTCGTTAACCGAAATCTCGTTAACTAAGGCGCTCGTTAACCGAGGGACCACTGTACAACAAAATGTTGAAGGTGGCAGAATCCATTATGTTTTGCAGAAATATCCTGAACAGGAGGACTAACCATGTTTACTTCTCTCATGTAGGCAAGAGTAAACCTTGATGGTGTTAAATAAACAGTGTTGTAAATTTTATAGTTTTTCCTACAATAATTAAAAGGTATAGAGGTGCAGTTGCTGAGTGGATATAACACTTACTTCCTGTCCTGAGGATTACCTAGTTATACCCCATACAAGCTTCTAGTCCATTCATTTGTAAATAGGTACAGCACCTTAGTTAACAGTTAGGGAAGTGATGATCATGTGTAATGCCAGTCACTCTGCCTCCTTATATACCAAGGCTTAGTAATCAGTGTGCAGTATCCACACTGCCTCTAATGCACCATTAGTCAGCTGTATGGGACCTACTTTTGGCTACGAATCATCTTTCTATAGTCTTCATAGGTTAAAAGTTCTCCCAACAGACTTTCCAATTTTTGCATGCCAAACCTCTGTTGCTGTACAAATTGTTTGACAAAACTAAATCTACATACAGGTATTTAGAAGTTTTTAATACCTACTATATCAATTAAGCAAGACCAGTTAGCACATTGGCATCATGAGTATCTTGTGGAGATGAGGGTTATCAGTAGAGGTAGTGAGCTAGTGTCTCCCTACAGTTCCCTCCAACAAAACATGGAGCATCCAGGTGGCAGCAGCGACTGGCAGGACTCTTACGCCTTCGTTTACTACATGAGAAAGGTCAGTGCCATTTCTGCTGCTAGGATTTGCCCAAACTTCAATTAAATATTATTTTGGAAGAGTGCCAGTAGCTTTATGTTCATCTTGTTTGTTGGGAGAGACTAATACCAATTCAGTTTTGACAGTTAAATAAGGTCAAGGTGTGATGACTCTTTTTGTTATGATATTGTTCAAGAACCAAAGTCTGCGTCCTTCCTCACACCACTGTTTGTCCCTCAGATCCGATGTGAAAGCGTGTGCTGCTTCTCTTATCACTCACTTATTTATGAATTATTGTCTGTACCACTATGCAAATAAAAAAAATGGTGTTCTTTGTTTCATACAGTGTAAATAAAAATATTATTCAGTCGACTGTCTGTATCTGGAGCTGACGGATGCCCACCTCACTAGGGTTCACAGCTAATGGTTGAAGAAGCCACAAGTTAAAAAATTTGTCAGGGCAAACTTTTTTGGAGTGAGAGTTGTGAACTCTTTAAACAATCTGCCGGGGAGTATTATGATGGCACCGAGTGTGAGTTCAGTCAAGACCAGATTTGACCAACACTGGCACAAATACAGATATATCCTGAAACCACTTCATGCCCAATACTTGCCAACATTGCATAACAGAGATGTAAATGACCGCCCAAGCAGCTAACAAGCTGATTAGTGGTAAAGAGGATAAAGTAAAGTACCAGACAGCAACACTACAAGACTTTTGTAAAATACTTGAAACCTTCTATCACCATAGCTATTTGTTAAAAGCTGAAAAAGACTTTTTTCTGGCATTTCGGTTCTTGACCATTGATATTAATATTGAAACAGTGTATTTATCCTGAAGAACACAGATACAGAGTCAATTAAAAAAAGAATTCATAATAGAATTATCATGACTGAGACAATTGAGAGCCTGAGCTCTCTTGTAGGCACCTTATTGAATGGTTGGGATACCAAGTCAGCAGCCGTGGGACGATAGATCTCGAAGTTATTTGTTAAACTCTTCTCCATGTAAGTAAAGGATAAATACTGAACAGTAAGTGTATAATCCAGATTCCCTGTTGCAGGCCGACAACCAGCCGCTGCCACAAAGCTGAGCCTGATAACTCGTCTGGGCTATACCGATGGCGACGACCCTCATCCCACACTGATGGCTGCCAAGATGCAGGACCGACAAATATCCTGCCACTTAAGAAAAGAGCATAAATTTGGGGGATCAACGTATGATTGCTCCCCCATGCCGCTGGTTGTCCTGTACAGCCTTTACCATGACCACTACATCATCAATATCAAGGTTCCTGATATACCTGTAGATGGTCCAGCATCGAAAGATTTTGAAATTAACAAGGAATTTAATCACATTGAAGACTTGTATGTATCGGTAGGTACTGCTGCTAAGAGGTTGATGTGTATGCTCAGAGTTTAAGCATTTTATTTTAATTGCATTGTTGTGTATCTTCGTATTTTTGTTGCTGTGAACACTTGCAAACCTTTACTGTCATTCCTTTAGTCTTAATGCTGTGATAGATGTATTTAGCTATAGTACAGTACTCCACTTACACACCTTAATCATCACCCACGTTCATGATGCTTTATTACCTCCAGCTTTGTCTCAAGAGTCACAGCCTTTCCTTTTTTCTTCTGTGTAGTACAGGTGGCCGAAGATTCAGCAGAACGCTTGGATGCCATAATGAAAGGTATAATGAAAGGATGGCACAGATATACATGGATAAAGAGAGATCACTTCATACACAAAAAGAATACCAGGAAGAAAGACATGAGCTTGTGAGAGGTGTTGGAGGTAAGGGGGGTGTGATCAGTAAGCAAGAATACATCTCCGCATATCTCTCCCCAAGATGGCCACCACAGCTGACTTCCAGAGCGCGCAATTTGATTATTTGCCGGACCTAAATTCTTATAAGTGGGAGAAGCTTTCGTACCTTGTATAGTGAGGGATACCTATAGTTTAAATGCCTTTACTAACAATAATATGCATTTTATTTGGTGTTTAATGAAATATTGGAGGTTGGCAAAATTGATACATTTTTTCCTCTTTTTTTTCTTTTTTTTTTTTACCCAGGAACTTCTGAAAGGTTTTCCATTGGTAATGCAAATTTCTGTAACTCAGGCTTCCATAACTTGGGATACTGTACTGTACTGTACTCTATTTGATATTTCTCTGCCTTGAGCCCTGATTATTACCATTGTCTTGTTAGGATGCACCCTCTTGAATGATGTGAAATAGCACTTAACATGGAGAGTGGCAGATAGAAATGTGGCAGTAACAATGATCTTTCTTTGCCGTACAGTTCATCAGCCAAGACGGACGGTACACAAAGGTGCTCGTGGCACTCCAGACGGTGTTCTTTCCTGCCGTAGTCACACTGCTGGCTTGGTATATCCGCCTTCTCTGGCAACTTTGTTGGTCTTTTACCTACTTTCAAATAATGTTGCTCTTCCTTGCTGTGGCTCTTCTGCTGATAAATTGTGAGTACAGTACAGTTCTGTTGTATATATTAGACCTTATGGTTCCTCATCATATCATTGCATCCATGGAAAATGTATTTCTTTTCTTATTAGCCATAAATGTTCTACCTTTGTCTAGCTTAAAAAAACTGTCAAGGTTAAATCAGGTTGGATTAGGTCAAGTCAAGTGTAGGGAGCTAGTGGGCACAAGTCACATCCAGAGAGGCTGATGTCTTTTTTATTTAATTTATTTTCTATCATTTACTTCTTATCAATTACATGTGCTAGCCATTTGGGTGGTTGGTCTGTTCCTTGTTACTTTCTTATGAACTTCTATTTGTCCAGTAATGTTAGTACAAGAGGAAACTGGATTACCAGTACCTGGAGAAAACCTGTGATGTTTGGTAGGTTAACACTAGATAACACTGTTCCCACATGTGTCCTGGGCCAGGAGTCAAACCCATGACATAGTAGTGAGAAATACCTGCATTACCACCAACACTCCTGGGTTAAAATGTCTGGATTTAAATGGACACTGTGCAGCCATTATGATACATAACACACACTTACATCTATAACTTGCCTAAATAACAGCGAAAACAGTAAAAAGGAGGACGTAGAGATAAATATATCACTTCACAGGAGACAGTAATCAGCTAATTAAGTCATTGATTATCCATGAGGTTTAAGTCTGCCACTTTGTGGGAACAGCACTCTCCGGGGCTCTGACACCATTCCATGGTTGGGGAAGGCAACATAGGATGTTCAAACTGTTTTAATAGCTGTCAACTTTGATCATATTTTGCAGTGAGAAGAAAAGTTGTGTTCAGTATTATGACTTAGTTGTAAATCTCAAACAAAGAGTAAAACTTAGTCATGGTGCATGCACTCACCACTCATTCACCCACCTTTTATTATGCAACTAAATCATTCATTTTCATCATTCTCATCCGTGGCGTACTAGACAGGCCCGGCGTGAGTTTAGGTTACGTGTTAATTCTATTACCAATTGGAGTACAATTCTTTCGTGTGCATATTCTCGCATCTATCACACAGTTTAAAAAAATGTGAAGGTACTTTGTGTTCCTATGAATATGTATTGTACAAGAATATTGAGAAGTACAGTCACCCCACAAAAGTCCTGTCGTCTCTTCTGCCGCTCCACGAACCCCGAGATTCAGACTCGTGAATCCAAAGCATTTATGGACAGAACAGTGCTTCGGTGTCTACTGCTTCAAGTTCACGAGTCTGAATCTAGGGATTGGTGGAGCGGCAGAAGAGGTGACAGGACTTTTGTGGGTGACTGTACAGTGTCTTTATATGTCTTATTGTTGTTCATACAGCACAAAGATGAAGAGATGGAAATTGTTGATGCTCTTTTGGTGTATCTCGCATCTAAACACAGTTCTATCCTGACAGAATCCATATTGATAGAGAACTTTTGTTTTGGCAGGTCCCTGGACGTATGTTACACTGCTGACCAACTGCCCATGGGTCATTATCTTACAAGACCTCAGTCTTGGCTTCTTCTATGGCACCTTTATGACATTTCTTCATTTTCTTACTTATTTTTATTTAGAGGTAAGTTATTAACTGTTCTAATACATAAACTTCTTTATTGACATGTACGTATTAGACTTGGAGTACTGTACATGCATCTGTGGATGTGAGTATAGTTTATTATGCAGTACAGTATGAATAACACACACAGATCTATAATGTGGGTATCTACACTCTATCTTTATAGTTACTACTCTGTGGCTGACCACATTACATTTATATCTTAATCATTGGGAACAAACAGGGTTGCATTGTGAGATCAAAAAATCTTTGACACTGGTGGTTCTCACCCATACACAGTTGAGCCCCACAAGCCCACTCTCACCATGCTCAAGTTACTAGTCAGTTCCCTGTTCTCTTTGAGTGTAGAAAGAGAAGGAGCCCGGTGCCCTGCCCATATAAATTTATGTTTTAGATGGCCTTTGTTGAGGTACCTGAGAGTGTGTGGAGTTGCCATGGTCTCATACCCAGGGGATATAAGTCATGATGAACTGAGCTGCTGCTGCACCTCAGGTTGTTTGTTTGTTTCATAAATGACATGCCAGAAGCTATAACTCTCCTCCATACAGATGTTTGTGGACGATGCCAATTATTCAGGGAAATTAAGAACCAAACAGATTGTGAAGAGCTGCAGAAAGATCTCTGTGAGCTTCAAGAGTGGTCGAAGAAATGGCTGCTAAGATTGAATATCACGAAGTGTAAGAGGATTCACCTGGGTCATACCAACGGTAAGGAGGCGTAGTTTATGTCCCAACAGGGCGAAAAAACATGCATTAATAGAGACTTAATGCGAAAAGTACCTGGGTGTGTATGGTGACAATGAACTGAAGTTCTCAAGTCATTGTGAGAAGGTGAATCAAGCAACTAAACTAGTAGGTCTTATAAGAAAATTGTTCAGACATCTAGATGGTTTGTCCCTCGTACTTATCTTCAAGAGTTAGGTGCTTCCCCGCCTGGAGTACTGTCACCCCGTCTGGTCCCTGAGATATGCTAGAGATTGTCATTTGAATGAAAATGTCCAAAGGAGGGCCACCAGACTGGTGCCTGCACTTCGGCACCCCAGTTATCCAGAGAGATTAGAACGCCTGTAATTCCCAAGCTTATACTACATACGGGCAAGGGGAGACCTAATTGAGGTGTATGAACATCTCAAAGGGCACTACTTAGTCAAGTGTCCATACCAGGAGCTGGCAGATGCCCACCCCACAGCTCAAAGTTGAAGAAACCACAAATCCAGAAAACTGAGGGCAAACTTTTTCGGAGTGAGAATTGTGAACTCGTGGAACATCCTGCCAGAGAGTGTTGTGACGGCACCAAGTGTGAGCTCTGTCAAGAGCAGACTTGACCAACACTGGAGCAGGTTCAGATACATTCAAGAGCCAGTGCATGCCCAGTACTTGCCAACAGTGCGTAACAGACACGTGACCAATCAGGAGCCAGTGCATGCCCAGTACTTGCCAACAGTGTGTAACAGACACGTGACCAATTGACCAACAAGCCGATCAGTGGCGAAGAGGATAAAAAAAAAGTAAGTTTTAATACGTCCTAAATATTTTTGTGTCTTCCGCAAACTTGACAATGTGGCCCAATATATTTTCATCTAAGTTGTTTATGTAAATCACAAACAGGGTGGTACTCCACTGGGAACCTTTCTCCATTCAAAATGTACTGCTTTTATTACCACTCTTTGTTGCCTGTCTTCGAGCCAGTTGTCATCCACGTCAAAATCTTTCCTGCGATGCCATGTGCATGGATCTTAAAGGCTAGTCGTGCATGTAGGTCTTTGTCAAACACCTTGGAGAAATCCATGTACAATACATCCGCAGGTAAGCCTTGGTCCACGTAGTCTGTTACTGTTTCAAGTAACGTGAGTAAGTTTGTTAGACAAAATTTTTTATCCCTGAAACTGTGTTGTGATGCGTTGATAAGACTGTGTTCGGTCAGGTGTAGGATGATGACGTCCTTAAGAATTTTTTCAAAGAGTTTGTATACATGTGATGTTAGGCTAATTGGCCTTTAGTTTGCTGCTGCACTTTTCTTGCCCTTCTTGTATACAGGGGTGATGTTGGCTAGTTTCCAGTCCCTAGGCACTTTACCTTGATTTAAGGATTTCCTGAATATCTGTCCCCTCAACACCCCATGGCTGGATACTGAGTATAGAAGGGGAAGGAGAGGGTTGTTAAAACTACAGGTTCACTGGCAATGCAAGTTTGGAATGGCTTAGGGTGTAGGGAGGTCAGGCTAGTCTCTTCAAAACTTGGCTCCAAAGCCAGAAGAGATCATTCCTTTTACCACATTAAATATGATATATTAATTCTCTCATTACTCTTATGAGCATACTCAAACTTTGTATTGTGGGTTTTCAAGGTCATCAGATATAATGGCCATTAGGTCTGCCAACACATGTGCACACTGGTAAACAAAATCTTGAAGGCTATGAGTCAGTTTAGACTGTAGGGCATCTCCAATCTTCCCACCAACCCCAAGAAGTTGTGGGTGAAGTAACATGGCGAGCACAAGCCCACCCAGCTGGGGTGGAGAGGTTACTGTAAGCTCCCCAGAAAATTTTTGAAATCTGACCAATACCATGGGCATTTTGAAGCCATGTTCACTTGATAGTATGATATATTCTGAGGTCAATGTTAATTACTTTTTTACTACACAAAAATGCCTGTGTACAAAACTGCATTAAAGAAAAAGTATTGGAATTTTCTGATGAAAAGGGGTCTGGACCCCAGGACCCCCCTGGAACTGACCCTGAACCCCTGTTACCAGTTACTACCCAGTGTAGAAACTAAGTTTAAGGATGGTCACACAGGTCAGGAGCTTAAACACACACACACACACACACAATCAAAAAAAATATGTGCAAGACGATATACAGTACAGGTATATATTTATTTAAAGGGGTTAATTATGTAATATTAATAAAAATAACCTGCTTTTGTTACTTGATTTATTTTCAGCCTGTTAAACGCTGCCCAAAGGTCAGGACAGCGATGGTTCAAGTGATCGGTGGTTACACAGCAACGATCTTCCTTATAGATGTCATGGAACACGCTATTCTTCTTCACAATCCGCTGCCCTATGTTTGGGAATCTCTCCATCTGGGACTGGCTACCATCACAGTATTACTCGTGGTTGCTTACCTCACCTACATCACCATCAGGGTCTACTCGGTCAGTGTTTTTGCTTACACATTATCCCATCCTTAAAATGTATCTCTTGTTGTCTAATGTACACGGTGTTCATAACAGATCTGAGCGATTTGATTCTTTAATATTTTCCGTACTAATTAGGATATAAAGTTCAAATTATGTGTTCTGTACATAATAGAGCAACTGTTAAAGTTTTTCATACAAGTTCAACATGTGTGTCATTGGTCAACTGTAAAACTCCAATCGATATTAAATTTTTCGCCATATGCGTTCCATCATGCCAGCACCAACCATCACCATTGCTTCCCTGACCCTCATTCATAGTTCATGGATGTTGGCAACCTTGATCTTGTACACAATATCTCTTACAAAACATCAGAGGAAGAAATACAATGGCATAATGTCCGGTGATCCTGGAGGCCTAGAGATAGGCCTATCTTGTCCAATCCAGTGATATCAGTAAAATTAGTTATCAATGAATCAGTCAGTAATCAAGCAAACAGATTTATAATGGGGTCTCATTTTACGTGGGTCTCGTGTGTGCTATTATTGCTTATGTGATCGGTTGAAATGTGACCGTAGTTATAGCTTACACAGAAAGCCATGGCTATTGTGGGTAGTGGTACTGTATACTGTTTTTGGTTTTTGTTTTTTATATAATTTCTGCTACTTATCAGCTTACGAGCCGTTCGGGCTGGTTGGTCTATCCAGTGTTAGTACAGGAGGAAACCGAACTCTGAGAAACCTGTGATGTTTGGTCAGGTCACACTGAATAACACCCTTCTCACGTGTGTCTGGGCCAAGGCTCAAACCCTTGTCATATTGGTGAGAGTTACTCACGTTACCGCCCCAAATTTAATGATTTTAGTCATTTCAGTTTCAGTTATTAGACATTATAAGTGCATACCATAAGTAATATACTGTAATAATGTTCATTGAAAAAAGCTAATACTGTAGGTACGAGAGATGACACTGATCATTGCCTTGTTCCCAGTTTGTTTTTACAGTGTATTTACAGTATTCATTATTATATTCTTGTATGATCAGCCTATTATGGTGTATGTTTCATCATCAGTAATATGACATACAGTATTAAATAATGGAACAAAATATGATATATAATTTCACTTCAAAATTAAATGGTAAGCTGAACTTGAAGGTTCTGTACTGTACAGTCAGCCAAAGATGAATCGACCCCCACCCTGGCTCTCGTACTCACAATTTTATCTGGCACTGCTTGGTAACATAAGCTTGTATGTAATGGGAATTGTGTTTGGTGGATCTATTTTTGGCTGTATCACTGTCAGGATAAATACTATTAAGCAATCCAAAGGTAGATTTTTTTAAAATAAACTATTCATTGTTATTTAAGAACATGAGAAGTTTTCAAATGTTTGTATATTTGTTTAAATAATGAAGAAAATTTGATCTGAGAATCTTGTGGCAGCCCTGTACTTTATATTTGTATTAATTTATTTGTTTATTTACAGTATAATGACAATTATTATGATCTATACAGGCAGTTATTGTTGTGAGGAATGGAAGCAATAGAGAGGAGAAAAAGGGACTAGATACAATTACAATTGATAAGGTGTGCGAGTCTAAAGGAGCAGTAGCAGGAGTAAGATGGAGGGAAGCCTTGATGTTGGTGGTGTCCTGGCTCTGTGTCCTCCTCACTGCTGTGGAATTTATCATCAAAAGGGTGAGTAATACAGCTGGCATATTACTTACAATATTGTTGAAGATTGTTGGTTTAAGAATTAAATATAGAAAAATATATAAACAAACATGTGAAGAAAGAAACCAGAGAAAAAAATATTTGTTTTTCCAAGCCCAGTACAGTACTTGTCAACAATATGTATGTTAAGATTTTTTTTTCCATAGTGTAAGGCATTTCTTGAAATGAGACACAATTTGTTTTAAAGTACAAGTTTAGCTGGACTAGAATTAAAAGTAAACTTTCAAAGCAAGTTAAATTCTAGTCTTGCCATTGAAATGGAAAGTGGCAAATCTAAGAGACATATCAGTTGTCATCTTGAATGGTGTACATTGTGCTCCAGTATGTACATGAAAATGAAAGTTTCATGGCTTACAGGTATTTACAAAAATCATATGCTTGAAGTCACATGCCTGTAAAATGTCTACAAATATGATATCAAAAGGAAATTCATGTGTTAATTCTTTGTTTATTATATTGACAGCTTCATGATGGAATGTGGATCTGGGAAGATATTTTTGGCAATTTGGAAATTGAGAACACGAGTGGCCTTCTGCTGGGTATTTATAGCATGTGGAATGTGTTCACATTTGTTATTCTGATAGTGTACCCCCCAGTGTCCCCACCCATCACTCCACAAGGTAAGTATATTTGTCATTCTTGACACTACTCATGAACCAGTTAATCTCTGTCATAGGTGCCACATAGGGGTTAAAACACTTTAATTTACAATTGATTGAAATGGAATTAGCTTGAGAAATAGGGGATTAAAGGGTGAATTAATGAATGTATAGCCAAGGTTTACATTAAATGTGATGAATAAAAACAAAAACAGTACAGGTTATTATTATAACCAGTCTTGGTGAAGTGATGAAAAAATTTTATATATTTTTTTTTTTAGAAGCCCAAACAGGAAGTCTTCTTTTGATGTTTCTTACTTGACCTTGCTAAAGTATCAGCCAGAAGCAGATGAGGTGGATGTTTTGCAGTAAAATTTGGGGAAGTTGAGAGACCTTGTCACTTTACATGCAAGATGGCAATTTCCTTTTGTTTGAAAATTAAACAAATAATGATGAGCTGGATATGTTTAATCCCAAAGCACCCCAGTAGTCTGGGTAAAGTTGTGTGTGTGCTTGCTGGTAAAGTTTCCCCCTTGGTGCCCCTGACAAGGGTCACAAACTTAAAAAGTCAGCAGATAGGAGTCAAGTTTGATTTAAATTATGGTGTAAACTAATTTCTTAGGATGATTCAAATCATCAGCAAATGTGCTTCAAGAACTGCACTCAGATATAGTCATACTTTGTAGCTTCATAATTCCATGGATATGAGAGGAAGTGCTTGAGTGTAAATTAAATTAATAGCTTTCACCCTACATGTGTCACTGGTTACCTATACAGTACAAGTGTATGGCTGAGGAAATGGATGCAGAGTCTTTCATTGTGTAACTGACAGTTATGCACACCTGTCTAGGAAGCTTCCATTATAAGTTTAAACTAACTTTACTTAAATTATAATGAAGTGTATCAGTTTTTATTTAGTAAAAATAAAATAAATTGATTTTGAGAAAGTAATTATGTACCAAGAAAATCATTTCTAATGATCATTTTATACAGTAACCAGTGCTTACCTTGCTTCTTAATAACACACACTACTGGTTAATATAAATCTGTACTCTTCATATTGGTATCTAGAGTGTCTTGTGTGTTTTACACACATAGTGTACTGTACAGCTGCACTGAGCACACTACTAGTCCCTGTATTCATACCAAAGGAATTCAAACCTAAGAAAATTTTTATTGACATTTATTTAATTGTCTGCTAATTATATTTTTATTTTACCTGTATTTGTGTGTTGACTTATTACTCCCCCACAGCAAGTACTCTACAGCACAGTACAGTACTCCAAACAATGAATATGTTAAACGTAAATGACAGATAATGGAACAGTATTCCCTCATGGATGAACGAGGAATATGAGAAACGATAAATAAAGGAGAGATGAATAACAGTGATCCTAGTACAGTAAAATATATTTAATATAATAATAAATTTTTGTTAAACAAAGTACAGCTTGGTATCAGCATAAAACTTAAATAATTTGTTACTTTTATTTTTTATGGTTGATAACTGGTTCCTACACTTGATCACAGACTTTACTTGTTGACTCATCCTCATTTTTTTTTTTTTTATAGAATTTCCCTTTCTTTCTCTGATACTAACCACTTTGTTTTCTTTTTGTACTTCTGCACTCAATACCATCACATTTGTACTTGTTTTGAGACATATTAAGGGCAGCTTAACTGTTTAAAATTCACAATGCTTTCTTAGTACAGGATTATACTGGCTGGCACCCAGAAAGCACATATCGTAAGAACTTGAAGCTTCTTCTGACACTGCAAGATACATTGTACAATCAGCTAGGTCAGGTCAGCTTATAATATATGGAGAAAGTTTTAAATTTGAAACTATACTCCAGAAAAAAAAAATCTGAAAATTTATTTCTTGATACAGTACATAATAATACTTGATATTCAGTCAATTTGACCAAGGACAGCTGACAAAGCCATGAGAGGTTTGTTTCCAGTATAGTCCTTATGCCAGCAGCATCTGGTGTTCTTAGGGCCAGGCGGTAATTATATTTTTATTTTACCTGTGTCTGTTTTGTAGCTTAGATTTGAACCTGCCATTAAATTATACTGTACACCCTGACTGATATAGGTATGAAATGGGAATTCACACTGAAGTCCTTAATTTTTATCTAAAGCTCTTTGCCTCCATTAATGAATTTAATACTAAGAATATGCAAAAGTAAATTATAAGAAAGAGGGATGAATTACAGTGACTAACTAGAGTCTCTCTGTTAACCAGTTGACTTAGAATCCACTACTGAGAGACAACCACAGCAACACACCCAACTTCGTTCTAGACCTCCTTTACGACGACAGGACGCAATTGACATCGTTAGTGAGGACTCCATTGATGAAGATGCTACAAGCAACATTGTAGTAAGTGGGAATGCCACAAATAGTGATGCTGTTGTAACTCTTGGTGTCATAAGTGGTGATCGTATCGTAAACACTGATGGTGGAGTACGTGTGTACTTCATAAGTGGTGATCGTGTCCTTAGTCATGATGCTTATGCAAGTGGTAATGCTGCTGTAAATGATAATGCTGTCATCACTAATGATTCTGCCACCAATAATGATGCTGCTATAAGCAGTGGTGCTGCTATAAGCAGTGATGCTGCTATAAGCAGTGGTGCTGCTATAAGCAGTGATGCTGCTATAAGCAGTGGTGCTGCTATAAGCAGTGATGCTGCTATAAGCAGTCATAATGCCATAAGCAGTGATGATGCTATAAGCAGTGGTGCTGCAATAAGCAGTGGTAATGCCATAAACAGTGATGATGCTATAAACAGTGGTGCTGCCATAAACTGTGATGCTGCCATATCCAGTAATAATGTAAGTAATGTTGTTGCTACAAGTGGTGATGTTGTTGCAAATAGTGATGTTGCTGAAAGCAGTGATGCTTCTGTATGTGGTAATGCTTCTGCAGGTGGTAATGCTGTCACATTCAGAGATGCTCTTGTGAATGGTGATGATGCCTTAAGTGATATTGCAATGATTGATGATGATGTCATGAGTTACTCTGGCACCACAGATGATAATGCTTCTGTAAATGATGATTCTGTTTGTTTGTAAGTGGTGATGTTGCTGGAAGCTATGATTTTATTGTGCAGTGTTAAATAACTATAATATAACCAAAGTTTTTCTCGCCAAAAATATTAGGTGAGTAAAATGACTATGTACAGTAAATGATACAAGAGGGATAATGAGTGTTTTAATGCTTCTAAATAAATTAACTATATGTGAGAATTAGATTAAATTGTGACAGCAACAGGATTAACCACAGTTACATGCCAAACTAGTCATTGCCAAAGGAACTGTGGGGCTGTGTGAGTTATGAGTGTAAGCCGACTTTTGCCAAACTACTGTACAGGGGAGTCGATAATGTGTGCATGTTTACATTTTTTTTTTTTTTGCAGCCAGACTTAATAACTGAACATCAGACCAGGCAGTTACATCATTTTAGAGGGAATAACCACAAACATATGTGCCAAACTGGTAAATTAGTTTTTGCTACTACTGTATTACATTATCTGATGGACAGTTTTCACCATCTTTTTGAGGTACAGTATTAACTGTCAAAATTTTAGATGACTTATATGACATTATCATCAATGATAGTAAGATTGTGTGCTGCTTATTAAGACCACAAAAGAAAAATTAAATAATAGTAATATGATTAATTTAGATTAAGTTCAAGTACTTTATACAATTCGCAAGTGTCTTGTACAATTTATTTTTCCACTTAGTTTTGGACACCTTTTGTACAGTGGAGTCTTGAAAATTCACAAAATACAAATTTGTGTTCTTAAATTTGTGGGTACAGGTACTGTACCTATATTACTACCTGTTTTTTTTTTTTTTCCAATTTCATGTCAAATGTTCATAATTCACTGCCCAGCGCCATCTGCCGCTGTGTTTGTTACATAAGAAACCATAAAAGTTGTGGAAATATCATTTCATTATTCTAATTTGCCTTGGAAATAATGAAAATAAAATATAAAACTATAAAATAATTTATCTCCACATTAAGCCGCCAACACACCTCTAATCAGTTGGTGTCAAATTATCAAAATTTCAAAGAAACCACCAAACTGACAGCCTATAGGACGTAAGTAACAGGAGTTATGACCTCACATGACAAGGGTTACCCCCATTGATACCAGATTATGTGGGAGAGTGAAGGGTTGGAAGTTAGGGTAGAGGATCACAGGTGCTGGCTCTGATACAGATATACCACAAAAGGGAATTAAACGTCAGCAAAATTGTGGACAACTTTCATGATTTTTAGTGTTTATTAAGCTGTTTTGGAACAGTTTATGGGTACTTCATGGCCTCTGGAACCAAACTACAGTGATATCCCAGCTAGCCTGAATAATTGGTGCAGAATTCTTTCGGTACGAGAGATTTCCGGGTAATAAGACGACGTTCTCAAACCTGGACAAATGCCACATCCTCTGAATTTTTCCAGGTGCTGGGAAATTTTTCAGAGAGTTTAAACTACGTGTCTCGCACAAACAGACACTATTCCACATCCCCATAATGCTTCCGGGTGCTGGGAAAAGTTTTCCGATTCTAAACTATGCATCTTGTATAACAGACACAGAGCTGTAATGTTTACTACTGTATACACTACAAGTATCCCCTGATTTACGATATCCCTGTCCATGATATTTCATTCAAACGATGGTGATATATTAAGACCACCCCCCCTATTTACAATTAAAAAAAAATTTTCATACACGATGGTCATCATCTGGCCAACGTGGAATATGGAATAGTACGTCTCTCAGTGCACTTGTCAGCTGTGGTCTACCCGCATACTACCATGCGGCCACCCGGTGCACAACAGTCCCTAACTTTGTTCCATGGTGATCGCACAAGCCCGTAATCGTGTTACTCAACTATTCAGTCGGTATCGATGTCGTTACTTATCATCAGTGTTTTTTTGGTTTGTTTTGGTTTTTGCTATGTTTTTTGTGACTCTAGTGCTTTGCCTCTGTTGTTGTGAACATGATGTGAGCAGTGTCGGCCGCTATCATTGTTTTTAAGTTATCATCGTTCGCTCTGTTTTTGTGACAAGTGCTTTCGCTCTATTTTTGTGACTATGAAATGAGCAATGTAACTTTGAAAATGTCTGGAAACGCCAAGGCGCCAAGGAAAACCGTGTCTTTAGAGGTGAATTTTGACTTTGTGAAGCTGTGTGAGGAGTCAGAGTGATGTCTCCACGACACCTTCAAGAAGCCCTTTAACCCTGAAGGTGACATGTGATGATGACCAGGTTTGTTCTTAATGATGTGGTGAGTATTGTTTAATTGTTTTATGTATATTATTATGAGGGTGTCGGACTGGCTGGGAACGTATCCAATTGAACCCTGTGTCCTAATGATCCTGATTTACGATATTTCAACCAGTAGTAATGGGTTTTTCAGGAACATAACCCCATCGTAAATAGGGGGATGCTTGTATATAAATAAATAAGATATAATACCCTGTACCAGATGCTGCCGTCTTGAGTTTATGACACAGGCTCGCCAAATGGTGATATGATGATACAAGATGGCCTTCCTATGACCTGTATCATATGCTGTGGCAGCTGGTGCTAACTGTTACTCTCCTCCATGAAGCAGAGAGGCAAGTGAAGAGTGACACAAATGACTTCCACCGCCGATGAAGTGCTGGGTGGTGGTGATGGACAGTGTGATGGTGAGGCATGTGGTGGTGGTGATGGAAAGTTCTGGGGATTAAAGATTCCAGCTAATGGAGAGATTACTATTATTTCCATTTTAATCAGTGAAATTATAATATGCAATTTGATAATTCATGATGTCTTCTGGTACCTAACCCGTGAATTATAAAGACTCCACTGTATCACTTAGAGCAGAACGCTGTGTGTATGAAAACTCTCTCTTACACACACTTGAAACTGAACATCTTTTAATCTGCAAGTGTCAAAGATTGTACAGCAGCACTAGAAGTATTTGATGTTGAATTTTGCTTATTGGCTTCACTCCCTTGTGGGCAGCTGTTGACACTTAATTTCAGTCTGAAATAATAATTAAAAAAAAAAGGGAGATCTAAAGCGCAAAGATGGACACTAATAAAACAATTTATATTTTGAAAAGAACTAACGAATTCTGTATAATGAGTACCTGGTACAGTACTGTATTTCATCATCAGATGGAAGACTGTTTTTTTTTTTTTTTGGTTTAGAAGATCTCTGATGATCATAAATTATTGAACATAACTTAAATACCGGTAATGCTTTATAAAGAAACTGTCAGCAGTGTGTTAGAATTAATATTCTATTTTATACAGCAAGGCAAAGAGAATTTTTGGAAATTATAATATACGTATATAGTATATATATAATAATTATAATAATAATAATAATAATCTCGAGGCAATGTGGATTTTGCTTTAAAGGAGAGGGAAACAAATTAAACTTAAGTTTTAAATAAACATTTTCAAATGAATGAACTTGTGTTTTATTGGTTAGAGCCTCATCAAACTGTACCTAACTCAAAGCTATGTTTGTTGTTTGTTAAGTTAGAAAGGATTGATTTGGTTCTAACAAAACTTTACTTAATCAAGCCCGGTTTGTTTGGAAATATTTATTAGCCTATTAAATATACTGTAGTAGACCCTCAATAGAGAAACAAATTGATAGAGCACCAACTTCCAATATAGACCAAAATACTGATTGAGAATAAGTGATCCCAATAGAGAACATCGATCTCTGAAATATAATTTTGCTTGATGTTTCCATGCTGTCCATATTCCACACAGTACTTTAAGGCCACATTTGAGCACCAACTTTCATGACACAGTGGCTTACATATGATTACTTTCCTCAAAAATAAATACTGTATACTGTACCTGTTTAGTAATTCAGTTGATAAAGTATACTGTACTGTACATTTCTTACCAACATTATGATTATCATGTTGCTTAATTGTGTAAGCACCATGCAGTGATGACCAAGGCTTTACTATGTAGACAAGTCAAACTGATGATGGAGCAATATAAGGACAAGAAATGTATTAACTGTGTGAAATGCAGAATAAGAGCAGGAAACTTGTGAGCTACATTTTTGTTTAGGCAGCTACCAGGTTGGCAGAGAATGACATGGGCAAAGATTTAGTTTATTCATCAAATCTATGGCATATTATTTCTACATTATTGTGTCTCGCTATTCCATGCAATTGCTTCTAGCTGTGTGCCAATGGTACCTTATTGCTAAATGCTGATTTTTTCCCCCTATGCATACAAGCCTTTTTCTGCCATGGTGCAGGGTGTCCCATACAGCTGAATTTTTTCTGAATCTTATTATTCAATAGCTAGTGGGTTAGCCAGTACCTTGACAAGCTGTTTTTCCATTATTGGTAAGTGCACCCAATACTGCACAAGTACACTTATTTTTCTGAGCACAAGGGTTAGTATACAAGAAGGGAACCCAATCCTCCACTCTGATGAGGAATCTAAACCACAACCTTTCACTTGTAAAGAAAAATGCACTACCAATAATCTACAGACCCACTACAGTATACGAGTGAGATGTAGTGAAATATGTTGGTGAAGTTTGTTACAGTATATTTAATGTTACAGTACAATACAATGTACAGTAATTTTAATTTAGTGTAAATGAATAAAGTTCAATACAGTACAGTACTGTGTGCTGAGTGAATACCACACAAATGGTATCTGTTGCCATGTCCTATCATTCGCTAGTTTGTTCTCTAGTGTACATATTCATACTGTATTGTAATTAAATTTTGTATAACAATATTAATCATTACCTTGTTTTAATTATCCCTATAAAAGTACAGTAAAGTATCTATCAACCAAAAAGTTTGGGACCAACAGGCTTTATATGCGACATATGACCTAAGCTGTTGTATCGCCAAGGATGTAATTACCACATCCAATTCTGGGTCATAGACAAACTGCATTTCTAACTACTGTACACTTACTTGAGCTTCCGTGATGAGCAGCTGGCCATAATAGTTTTCTACAGTGGCAAGTCTGGCCTATGTGTGCCTCTCTTATGACAGTTTTATGAGTGTAGGTCTGTTTTATAGTACAATAGGATATATTCCACATTTTAAAAGGATTTCTGAGAGAAGTAAACTGTATTACTGTACATATTTATTTATAATACATAACTAACTATTGAAGATATCGATTATTCTATTGTGATACACTTTTTACAGATTCCTTGTCTGTCTGAGCTTCATCCAATATGTACTTTATTATAAAACTAGTCCACAGTGAAAGCACAGCAACAAATGTAAGGCAAAATCTCATACCCTTAAACCAGTTAGGGTAACCCCACATAGCTAAATCCATATACCCAGTAAATCCAAGTCCAGTAATAACAGTCAGTACCCCAACAGAGTGAGGAGCTAAAAGTCCTAGCCAAGCAATAAGTGAAGGAGTAACACTGTATCCCAAGTTATGCCAATCTGGAGGTTGTGAGCTAACTTCTGGCAGTGTTAATCCCCATCGCACACCACCTAAGAAGGACAGAATGGAGGCCCCATAAAAGAGCTGTGCCTGGGCAATATCTGGTTCAAACACCCCAGTCGTTATCATATAGACAGGAGCGGCTACGAAGGGTATAAGTCCTGAAAATCCAAGGGCCAATGCAGGGGTTGGAGAGTGTCGAACCTGGAAAAAAAAAAGCACTTGGGTAATTATTCATGGACGATGAGAATGGAAAGTAGTGTTTTCTGAATTTTATATTTATGTAAGGTTTAATAATTCTAAACCACAATATATAGATACGTTAGGTTTAATTTTTAATGAATTACAGTAACTACACTGCCCCCTTGCTTCACACACGTTTGCTCAATTGCAGGTTGAGCCAGGATAACACAGGAAAATTTGGCCGAATGCGGTCAGGTGGAAAACATAGTGAGCTACTTTAGAGCTGAAAAATATCTTTGAGCTTTGGTTTTGGACTATTTATGGTGTGTGTATATGGGGGGGGAGGGGGCGTTTTGGGGTCCACCTCACGCATCTCGTATCTCCCCAAGTTTTAATGGGTTCACTCTACATAGATTTGCACTACACAGCATTTTCTGGGAATGCAACCCTGCATTAAACAAGGGAGCAGTGTACAGTATATAGTTCTGTAAGGTTTAATGTTTCCTGGATTTTATTGTTTTGTGTATAGTATCGGGGCTGTACCCAGATAGGGTAGTCTAGGGTGGCACAGTTAGACCATCAAGTGTGTAAATGGAATACATTAACTTTGAATTAAAAGAGATAATAAATTTTAGTTTAATAGGTAAGGATAATACTTTAACCCTCTTGTGTATGTAATGCATATGAGTCACAAACTGGTTTTGTCCAATTTGATCAGTGACTCAGAAGTGCACCATAAAAATTTAAAGAGGGAAGGACCTACACTACCAATGTAAGTTACCAACTAGTGTTTAGTGAGTTAGGCTGGACAATGTGGAGATGAAATAACTTCAGTTCTCTTAGCAGGCAAGTTGTCCGTGGTCACAGTCCCTATAAATCAAATCTCCCATCACTCTCAATACCTCTCTACACTCTCAGTTTTCAGTGTTTTGATCATAAAATAGTAATTGTACTTTAAGCATTGTGAAACTGAATATAATTTTTCATCTGAAATACCTTGTATTATTGGAATATTCAAACCACGATAACGATCATGTCTCACCGCTGCTATTCATATTCATTGACTTTTATGGGAAGCCTATCAAGTGACCGGTCGGATTTCAGTGTTGTGATCGTGAAATAGTGCTTTGCATGCTGTGAAATTTATCATAACAAACAGTGCAAAACCTGCATGTTTACTCCTCCTCCTACCCCATCCCCCCTATAGGGTGTGATATTGTTAGGCAAAGAACTGCATTTCCTATACTGTACAGTATATGAATTTTTAATGCCACTGAGTTACTGTGACCCATGGTAACTTTTGGGCTCCTCTATGCTGGTATCTCAGCTGTCACTTAATGTAGCCTGTAGGCAAGAAAGTCTAATAATTTAATTCTTTACTTTTCAATGTGTGTAACCTCACCTGTTTAACATTGTCTAATATTGCCAAATCAGTAGTTGTTTTGTTCTCTTTGAACTTGTAACTAGGAGAGGTATGGAAGAGTTGGGCAGCTCCACCTGCAAATATGAATAATTATTATTCTATGGAACTTTATAATTTCGATACATAAAATAAGAAAACAATAACAGTGTAGACAGATACAAAATATTACATGTAGTACAGTATAATGTCCTATCTTCTCTATATATTTGGATCACATTCTTTGTTTTGTTTATGTTTTGACCACATTATTTGCATATTTCTGTTAAATTCGGTTTACTCATTCATTCTTCAGTGCCCCAGGGTAAACACTAGATCACAGTGCCATAGGAATTAACACAGGAATAAAGAGCTAAAGAAGTCTGAAATTAAGTGTGGGAGACTGGGAGTATTACCTATGAAAAGAAATTACTTAAAAGGAGGGTCAGGGGTAAAAAAAAATCAAGAGACCACTCTAGAGAAATAAGTTCCAACATTAGTGGATGTATGTACAGTACATATCACCAGGTACAATACAACTGCAGACAAAGTTGTCTGAAGAAGGTTAAGTAATGACATCTACTAATTTTCCCCAAAAAGAGAAGTAATGTTCTTGCTGTCTGAGCACACATAACAGAGCATCAATAAAACATAAGAATTGGATAGAAACTTACCAGTTGCACTTATAGGTATAATTCGAGATGAAGCTGACTCAAAAAGATTGGCCTTTAAACTGTATAATGATGGACGACATCTCCCAAGCCTGTACAAGGGCAGCATCATCTTACCCTGCAAAGATGTTACCTATTACTGTTCAAGACTCAAAAGTGGTCACTAAATTCTGACAAATTTTGCACTACTGTACTGCACACTATATTGAATACGTTTAGTTACTGTAGTATACTGGCATTACTTTGATTTACAAAAGGGATCCGCTCTTGAAAATAATTCATAAATCCTTTGGTATTTTTTAATGACCATTTTGGATGTACACAATGATTATAAGACCCAGACAACACATAGTTTTAATTTGGTAATGAAGCACCAACAGTATGTCCACAGCAAAATATTGTAATGTTTTGCCTTCATCACGATAATTGGGTACAACAAATTTACCAAATTCCTGCTGCCTGACCCTGGCATACACTGACCCTGGTACACACTGACCCTGGCATACACTGACCCTGGCATACACTGACCCTGGCACACACTGACCCTGGTACACACTGACCCTGGTACACACTGACCCTGGTACACACTGACCCTGGTACACACTGACCCTGGCATACACTGACCCTGGCACACACTGACCCTGGCATACACTGACCCTGGTACACACTGACCCTGGTACACACTGACCCTGGTACACACTGACACTGGTACACACTGACCCTGGTACACACTGCACAGCACAACACAGTGTTACGGGAAGGACAGCATCAGTGACAACAGCCGCTGCTCTTCTTATTTTATAATATATACACGTGGCATGAAGGTGTCTGTTTCTGCTTACTACATTAGTTATCAATTTGGCGACACTTTTCACCTTTGTAACACTGTATACTGTATCTGTGCTGCTGCTGCTGTGTACGGCCGCGTAAGACAATTATTGAAATAAACTCCAATCCGGATTCTTTTTAATTCGTCTGGGTTTTTGTTGTTCATGTCTGGTAAGGCCTCGGATATCCTTTGATAGAATTGCCTTATTATTTACAACTGTTTGTTTAATGTTAATTAAATTGTATAGCTCCAATGTCTTGGTATAGTGGGAATTGTTTGTCTCTGTCCGGTCTATGTACAGCACGGGCGGCACAACTGAAAGGTCTATACACATGTTAAACAAATTATAAACCTAAATGATGATTTTGATAAATATTAATATAATAATAATAATAATTATTATTATTATGTTACTATTATTATTATTATTATTATTATTACTATTATTATTGTTATTATATTGTAACATATATAGGAAACGTTGAAGGTAATAAGTGTTGTATCCCCTTGTGTTGACCACCAGCAGGCTGTTGATGGTGAGGTGAACTACGTGTGTAATGAACCTTCACCTGCCAGAGGAGCCTCAGATAAGCTGTATAGTAATCAAGAGAGATATTCATTAAAACTTGCAAATAATAAAAGAAAAAGAAGAAGGATTGAGTGAATAAAGGCAGTCATGGCCAACAAACCCCAGAAGATGCCCAAAGTGGCCAAGGTGAGTACTACACATGACTACAGTAAACAGTGAGATAAACTAGGTGTCAGGGTATTGATGGAGTATTCCTGCTTCTATCTTTCACCTTTATAAATTTTGTTCCTGGTTGCTAAAACACGTTTTGAACTTGAGAGAAAATTACAGGATCCTCCCTAACTTTCTGTACAAGTTTTACCGTCAATTTATAGTATCACACCGGTCTTTATTTCGATATTAAAAAAAGGTTTTTCCTATGTATTTTGATGAGTTTCGAACGAATTTTATATTCATTTCCACCGGAAATCACGTTTTTTTTTTTTTTTTTATAGATACCCCCCACCCAACAATCAACAGAAAATTTGGATTCCTTTTTTAGAATAAATAACATTATATTACCGACCAACCAAGAAAACCTAACCTAACCCAACCCGTTGTTCATGCCCCAGGCGCTTAAAAAGCGAAGACTGAGGCTTGGAGCAATGCGTGTAGCAGGTCAGACCACCTCCGCCATAAGTGAACAAATCATGGCGACACTTGTGACTGAGCAAAAGTAATAATCTTGAAAGTTTAATATCTCGGTTATCCTTAATTTCTGGTGGTAATATCATAGAAGAAAAATGTCTTATAACTGTGTAAACACAAGATACATATTTTTGATACAGAAATAAAGACCGGTGTGATAATATAAGTTCACTGTTTTTACTATTTTGGTAGGTAATGGTAGAGCAGGTGTGGTAAAGGTGGACGTCACGGTCAACACCAAAAGGATTTGATGGAATTGCACCCAATTTTCAGGAGTTGTTTGGATGATACTGGGTTATACAATCGAAACAACAACATTGTACCGGTAGTATTTTTAGGGGTAATTTCTGAGAACTACTACCACCAGAAGGAGTAGTTTGATTTGGTTCTTTTTTCCACAGATGTTCTTGTCATTATCTTGAGTATATTAGGTAATTATTGACGACTGATCTGCCGGCGATTTTGAAAAGAGGCAACAATTTATTTAATTTATTTTTTATTTTTTTATTTCTTTCTACCTACGATCATAAATCAACTGCAGTGGGCAGGGTATGAAGGATGAGAGAAATTGCTGTTTATATGGTTTGGAAGATCACAATTTGGCTGTAAAATTTCACATGTTTATTGCAATTTATTTACTGTAATTAAAGGAATATGGAAACATTGTTATTCATTCAGTTAATTATATAACTTACTGTACTATATTGCATTTCCACAGGTGAAAGACAAGTCTCCTGCTGAGCTACAGATAACAGCAGAGCAACTCTTGAGGGAAGCCAAAGAAAGAGAACTTGAAATTGTACCTCCACCACCACGTCAAAAGATATCAGACCCAGAAGAACTTCAAGAATATCGACTGAAGAAGAGAAGAGCTTTTGAAGATAGCATTCGCAAAAATCGAGGAAATATATCAAATTGGATCAAATATGCAAAGTGGGAGGAGGAGCAGCAGGAGATCCGTCGAGCCAGGTAGAGTGTTTAATGATCTGTGTTTGAGAGTATGTGTAGTTCCAAAAGTTCTATAGTATCTATGACTAAGTGCTGTAACTAATTATGTAACTACTGTATTAATATTCCAGTTTTCAATGCTTTTAAATAATAGTTCCTAAAGCCAAATCAGCCAAACTTGTGGCTCTGAACTTTGAGGTTTATATAAATCTAAAGATATAAGTCATTTTAAGTTTTTAAAACCACATTTACAAAACCAAGAAACAAAGACAGCTAAAGCACAGACAGTAGTAATCTTTATACTGTACAGTACTAACTTACATAAGGAGGCATTGTACCAAGTTTGAGAAACAAATAATGTATATTTTCAAATCTTATTCCATTTTAGCAAACTATTGAAAGCAATATAGTAGACTTGTAGTATGTGAACTAGAAAAGCTTATAATAAAAAATTCATTTTAGCTAAAAATTTAACAATACAATGTACAGTGTAGACTATCAGTATTTTAAGTAGAAAGCTTTTGATAACATACACAGGTACATTTTCTATGACCTTTCAGCACAAAAGCTCTGATTGGAATTAAATGTTTCAAACAAGTAATTACATGAACTTTAGTTACATAATTGTATTCAGTAATCAAAGTTGAAAATTCTCAAATTGTGGTTTATAAACATGAGTGTTTCACCAGTGTCAGCATTAAGATGATTTGAATGTGGAGTTGATGCATTACCACTAATTCTGGATGAAATTTTACTTTCCACTGAATATGGTGGAGAAGAAAGATGCTTATTTGCAAGGAGACTTAATGCTGGAAGTATGTTCTTGTTGGTTTTCCACCAATCTAAAGGATTTCTATCATGTGCTTGCAGTTGAAGTTCTTATTACACAATGTTTTTTTACTCTTAAAAGAATTCCTTGGAATTGAATTTGGTTCTGTAGGCTGTGAATGATTACTATCACCCTCTGTCACTAACTGGTCTAAGCATTTATCACAATCAAAGTCACTATAATCATCAATTTGCACAACACACTCTAGGTTCTGCACTTTACTTTTACTGGAGTGAGCTCTGGTATGCTAACATTCTCCCTCTTCTCAAGACAACTGACCAGCACTCTCTGTAGGTTAACTTCGTGCATTTTAGATGTTTCATCACCTTCATTTCTATACAAGATTATATCTGAAACAGTGCATGGTCTTTCACTCAGCCAAACAGCAGTCTTGTGGAAAATTTTCAGTAGAGCAGAGAACTTCCCAATCAGGTTCCATTTGTTTGCATTGAATATAGAGGTTGGGGCTTCAAGGCAGTAGTTTGCAATGGCAGTTTTTTCTCTTCAAATATGCTCTCTAATATGAAAACCCTGCACTATCCCAACGAGTGGAGACATCTTGTATTAATATTGTACATTGAACAAAGATAGAATGCATTTATTCACCCAAAATATTTCACATCTGCTAGAGAAAATATGACTGCTAGTTGCATTCCAGAGCGGTTCATTCACTGTAGGATCTGCCATATGTGTAATAATGGAAATGGATAGTTTTGGGTGCCAGGGACATAAAGATACATCAGTACATCCCTAGTGCAGGCTGTCTCGTGTGGCTGTTCACTCACTCCTGCAACACCTCATCAGCCCCAACTACATTGCAAAGTCCATACATGCATGCCGTCGGTTTGTTTTGGCATTGAAGTCCAAGCGGTGCTGTGCTTGTGTGATCGCCTTAAATTTCTACTTTCTTTGCATCAATTATGGCCTCAAGTGACCAGAAAACCTTACCGGAGTTGCTAGTCAACCAAAGAAGAAAGGTTCCCTGAACGTTGTGCAGTTTTTATATGAACTAAAAACTAACTGCTGTACTGCATACTTGTTCAAGATACTGAGAGGGATGGAAAACATAAACCTGATACAATTTTTTAGATATCAAGTACCAATCATATAGGACTGTAGGTTACACATATAAATATTAATACGTATACAGTATAAACATTAAGAATTGATCTACATAAATTATAGCTACTGCACAATAAAACTCTTTTTTCTTCAGATCTGTGTATGAAAGAGCCCTGGATGTCGACCACAGAAATATTACATTATGGCTTAAATATGCTGAGATGGAGATGCGTAGTCGGCAGGTTAGTTCTTTTATTAATACACTATGTGATAAAAAATATTTGCAGTAATGTGCATAGCAGTGTATTAGTGTAAACCAAAAAGTAGTACAGTATTTTAGCTAAGATGTCTTATTATTTGTTCAGTAACCTTAGAATTATTGGTACAAACATTTCAGGTCAACCACGCCCGCAATGTATGGGATAGAGCTGTCACCATCCTGCCTCGGGCAAACCAGTTCTGGTACAAATTTACTTACATGGAGGAAATGCTCAAGAATATTGCTGGCTGCAGACAGGTAAGACTAATGCATGTAATATGGATCATGCTGACATGTTAAACTTGTGATGTATTTTTGGTAAGTTAAAAGGTGAGGAGGAGTAATTTTTTCACCGGCATAATGTAGGAAAGGGGTCACCAAAAATAAGTGGGGTTGTTGTATCGGTTATGTAGTCTGTGCTTTATGTTGCAGGTTTTTGAGCGATGGATGGAATGGGAGCCAGATGAGCAGGCTTGGCTTACTTACATCAAATTTGAGCTTCGCTACAAGGAATTGGACAGAGCAAGGGCAATCTATGAACGCTTTGTTTATGTTCACCCTGAGCCCAAATACTGGATCAAGTATGCACGTTTTGAAGAGAACCACAGCTACATTCAGAGTGCCAGACGGGTCTATGAGCGTGCAATCCAGTTCTTTGGCGATGATCACTTGGAGGAGAGTCTGTTCATTGCATTTGCTAAATTTGAGGAAGGTCAGAAGGAACATGACCGTGCCAGAATTATTTATAGATATGCTCTTGATCACATGCCCAAAGAAAAATGCATGAACCTGTATAATGAATATACCCGACATGAGAAAAAATATGGAGATAAGTCATCAATCGATGATGTCATTACCAGCAAGAGAAAATTCCAGTATGAGGAAGCAGTAAAAGCAAATCCTCATGACTATGACACATGGTTTGATTATGTTAGGATGTTGGAAGCAGATGGCAATGTTGATCTCATTAGAGAAACTTATGAAAGAGCAATAGCCTGTGTTCCACCCTTAAAGGTTAGTGTATATACAGTATTAATATTGCAATATCTAATTGGCAAGTACAGTATACTCATTTTAATAGGATGCACTACACATTATAACCCATTTATTATTACTGATGCACTTGATTGGATAACTCATATATGTACAGTACTTTATTGACAAAGTTGTTGGTTTGATCTCAGGGTTCTTAGGAACCTCTCACTTGTGTGATTGGTCTTTAGTTCAGAAATCAAGCAAACTAAAAAAAAGCCATAGCCTCATTAGATGGATAGTAGCTCTGAAAGACCAGCTGTCAAATGTTGAAACCTGAGTCTTTGCCAGGAGTTCCCAAACTTTTCATCAAGAGGGCCACATGCAGAATTTCATGTCACTACATACAAGAGAAGATTTTTATGAGTCAGTTTTTATGCTTTTATTTTGGAGTTTGAAATTAAAAAAAGATATATATGTTTTATATATTACAATATTTATTTCTGCCTGCTAGCTTATAAAAACTAAAAGACATTAAATTTTACAGTATTGTGTACTTTTCATTGAGATTGACTATACTGTTTCTTGGTCACCTTTGTGATAGAGAGGGTTGGTAATGGTTTCAGACAGCAGGAATGAGGTGCTCAAGTCAATTTGTGGTGCTGTGAGATGTGGTTTTGGGGATAAAAGGTGTGAGTCCCATTATTGTTTTGAACTCACACCTCTGTCCTCCCACTTGTACAAACAGGTTTGAATGTACTGTACGTGAATCGCTTAACTCCATTGCATCAGTTATGAATGAGGGATTGATCCTGAAATTCCATTTTAGAGTGAGTGTGGTTTGATGCCTCTGGTCCCTTCCTCCTCCCTGGGGATGCTAAAGAGCTGGAACTGAAAGTTGATAGAGCCTGTAGCTTGCTTTATAGCCTGTTTGGGTTCTGAGGAGTGAAGACTAGAAGCTCTTACCTTCAAGCAGCTGGTTAATTAAAGCTATAGTGGCTAATTAGTTATAGGGGCTACTGTTGAAATAGCAGATATCCTATTCTCAGTTTTGTAGTGTTACTACAGTATACAGTAGTTCAGTTGCACTAATGAAAGATTCTTGTAAACCCTGAGATTAGACTTGCAAGTGTATTGAAAGCAGAACTTGACTTGCCTGATCTATGTTCTTTATAAAATAGGATTCCATGATCCAAATCTCTTTTTGTATTGTTTCATGTTTGCAGCCTTGATTATTTTTATTTATTTTTTGCATATTATACCGTACTTTATGCTCATTTAACAGTATTGTTTGATCAACTTTGTCTGGTCACGTAGTTTTTGTTTCTTATGCATAATAGACTTTTTTGGTGATTTTTTGTAGGAGAAGAGGCATTGGCGGCGTTATATCTACCTTTGGATATATTATGCAGTGTTTGAGGAACTTTCTACGAAGGATATAGAGAGGGGCCGTCAGGTGTACCAGATATGCCTGCGCCTCATTCCACACAAAGTTTTTACCTTTGCAGAGATATGGCTACTCTATGGTAAATTTGAGATACGTCAAAAAGATCTTACAGCAGCAAGGAAAGCATTGGTAAGTTATCAGGTATTGTAAATAATTAATGTGACTAAAATGAATGTGAAAGGAGAGAAGGTTATAGAATTTGAAAGTCAGGTTTAAGTATCCACATACAGTTCCGTTAATAGATTCTGCACATGCCCAGATCCATAGCTGGCCACCACGTTTCCACGTTTACTTTTGCATTCTCAGTTTTTTTGGTTCTGTTAATTTTGATGTAGACAATTGTATAGTTAACTCTTGGCTTCTTCCTAGTTTGTTGGTTGCTCACTATATTGAGTTGAATTTATGCTGGCAAACAAAAAGTATACATGACAACCTGCTGGCAGTAAAGGGTTATGCACTTCACTGTTATGAGTTAAACCTCTCATTTTTAATTTGTTAAAAAATCTGGATTGTTTAGCTTAGTGAAATATATTTTGAACCAGGGTGCTGTAAAATGATTCATCTAATACCAGGTTAAGCAACCCTGGGTTATTTACTTTACAGGGTTATAACCTCTCCTTCACAAGTCTCAAAATTTCCTGCACATTTAAGTATCTTTCATGTATATCATAATTATGTAATATCTATCCAAATTTTTACCCAACACTGAAATTGACTTTGTTCATGTGTTAGTACTGTATAACACCTTAAAGCAACAAAGCAAGGAATTTGATGGTCCCAACTATCTATTCTTTACAAAATATATTTTGTAGGTCTTATTCAAAGGTTATTTCAATGTTACTAGAATCTTTTAGGATTTGGTTTGCTTCCAACACCTTAAATCTCTGTGCTTATATAAGAATACTTTATCAGATTAAATTTATTTAATCTCTCCTTGCAGGGACAAGCTATAGGCATGTGTCCAAAGCACAAGCTTTTTCGTGGATATATCGACCTGGAAATTAAATTACGAGAATTCGACCGTTGCCGTAAACTTTATGAAAAATGGGCTGAATTTGACCCAGAAAATTGTAAAATGTGGATTCAGTTTGCAACCTTGGAAGCTATGTTGAATGATGTTGAGCGAGCAAGAGGTATATATGAGCTATCAATTGCACAGCCACGTCTTGATATGCCAGAATACATGTGGAAGTCATACATTGATTTTGAGGTGAGTCCTTTGTACACTTTGAGGATATCTAACTTGACTCTTGTCAGGCAGCTCTTAGCTGCTTTATATTACTTTTATATTACAAGAATTGTATGAATTTTCCATATCTGGCATGAAAATTCCTTTGAAATGTGGGTAGGTGATAGTCATAAAGATATTATAGATAATAAATGGAAATTTTATTTTTGCAGGTGGAACAGGAGGAATGGGATCATGTTAGAAGTCTTTATGAGCGACTTCTGGAACGCACTCATCATGTTAAGGTTTGGATCAGTTATGCTAAATGTGAACATTCCATGCCAACTGAGGATAATGTTGTTCATGCACGAGCAGTATTCCAACGAGCAAATCGTGCCCTTCGCTCATGCCAAGAGAAGGAACAGCGGCTGATGCTTCTTGAAAGTTGGAGAGATTTTGAAGATGAATTTGGGAATGCTGAAAGTGAAGAGAAGGTAAAGAAACTAATGCCTAGGAAGGTAACACGCCGACGACAAGTCTCCACAGATGACGGTTCACAGACACGTTGGGAAGAATATATTGATTATATCTTCCCAGATGATGAGGCAGCTAAACCTTCACTTCTCTTGTTAGCAAAGGCTAAAGAATGGGTGAAGAAGCAACAAGAGCAGAAAATTGATTCTGAAGAGGATATTCCTACAGCAGAGAAGCCAGACTATGAAGAAACGACTGAAGTTAATCCTGACTTAGATCGTGATGATAGCGATGTTGATGTTGGTTCCTCTAGCAGTGAATGGTCCAGTGAAAGTGATCAAGAAGATGTGGCAAAGAAGAGGAAAGAAAGAAAAAGAAAATATTCACACAAAAGGGATGAAGATGATAAGAGAACCAAAAAAGTGGATAAAACAAAAAGTTCAGATAGTTCAAGTTCTAGTGATGAAGAAAAAGAGAGAACAGGAAAGAGTAGTAACAAAGGAAGTAGTAGTGACTCAAGTGAGGAAGAGAGGAGAGCAAAAAAGAAGAAAGAAATTAAGAGAAGATCCTCAACAAGTTCAAGTTCCTCAAGTGATGAAGATGATGAGAAAAGTTCAAAAAAGAAAAAAGATAAGAAAAAGAGCTCTTCAAGTGATAGTAGTAGTAGTAGTAGTAGTAGTAGTAGTAGTAGTAGTAGTAGTAGCAGTGGTAATTAGGAGCAAGGAAGGCAGTGCAGTATATAGACTGGCAAATTAAAGGGGAACTTCATAAAAGCCTAGACATATCAGTGAAAACAAAGTTAGGTTCAGCACAACCTGCAAGAAGTATCCCAGTACTCTGTTTGCTGTAAATATCCAGCTTTTTATCATTGAGCCTTAAATCCAGGATGCTCACTACTGAATTCACTTTAAACTACCGTAAGAAACTACTCCTTCACTAGACTTCATTTGTTGTTATGTATGGAGCAAACTCTGAAATAAAATTAGTTTTATTGTTACAGGTATTATTATTATTTGCTATTTCATATGCTTTTGTTAAATTATGGCAGACGACATCTTAAACCCACAAGACCTAAATACAATTAACACATAGTAGTGAGTGATGTTAACAGTCTGGTCGTTCACTCTAGATTGCTGTAGACATAGGCCACTAGTCTGTTAACATTTAGCCATTCTTTTTTTCTGCCATGCCTATCAAATGGGTAAAATATGGTACAGTACAGTAAAGGTTCGGAAAGAGATGAAGAGGGAGTAGTGATATAGAGTGAAAGAAAACAGAGGATTTATTTCTATAATGCATAGTAGATGGACTTTCAGATGAAAATTTATATTATTACAATATTCTTGTTTAATAATGTGTGTACAGTGGGGTATGCTATAACGAACGGATCCTACTACGAATATTCCTATAACGAACGGTTTTCCCTATAAAATTGAGAATGCTATAACGAACGAAACTCCTACAACGAACATTATTTAAATTTTTTTTTTTTTTACTAATTTATTGTTTTCTTATTACAAGTATTAATGATATTCTTTATTTCAGGTGTTTAGATGCATATGTATGCACTTTCTTACAATTTTATATTATATTTTTCAGTGCTAAGTGGTTGTATTTGGGGGCCTGGAACGGATTAATCCTATAACGAACAAGGTTCTAGAACCAATTAGATTCGTTATAGCATACCCCACTGTATATTACTTTTGTCAGACTGGACAAAGTGGAACACAGGAGATGGTGTGAATAACTCATTGTGTTGTGACTGCAATGTAGCCTTAGGCAACATAAAGGTCTTCATGATATACCACAAATAATAAAACAAAATAATAGTTTATAAGGTAGATTCCAGAAATTATTTATTTATTTATTTTTTTTTTAGAAAAGAAACAATTCCCATTTATCATCACCATTATTACATCGTTTTGTGGGCTTTTATACCCCCACCAGAAAAAAATAAAGAATGAATATGGTCATAATTGGTATGCAATACTGTGGCTCATACTCTTATCAGGCTGGACAGCATGGGAGGAGTAAGAGGCAAATGCTGTATCCAATCAACTGCCGCACTCCAGAGAATAATGTGTAAGGCAATCTTAAGAGTACAATCCAGTATATAAAGAGAGAAGGAGATATTTTGAAGGACAAAGGGATCATGTTAAGAAGAGAAGTACAGTATATATGGTAAGTGTTGATATACTGTACATAGGTTTAAAGTACTGTACAGTATTTGATAAAGGTCTTCCTCCTGGCAATGTTAATGATATAAATATAAAGTTATGAATAGTTAATTTAATAAATAGTTGCCATTTATTTTAGATATGACCTGGTAGGATATAATTGCTTTGTTTATATAAATATGAACTGTACAGGTAAAGCTGTGGCTTGTCTATTGTATTTGGGTGGTTCTTAAATCATAAAGTGGAGAAAAAATTTACCGGTGAATTTCAAGAAATAATTTGAAATTTTTTATCACAGTGGCCCGTCCCATGCATGGATATTTATCTTTGTTTTCTTAGTCCTTTCCTGTCTATTTCAACATTAGTCTTGAATCAGACTGCTTTATTATTTCTCCCCTTTCTTTAATGTTACCATACCCCTTGATCAACCTCCTTACAAAAAATACGGAGATCGGTCTCATATGTTGATACTTATCTTACTAATTTGGGTTAGTTTAAAGCTTTAAAATGTTTCATGTTGCATATCATCACCACCACTAGACTCATAAGATTATATCTTTAACAATTTTATACTTTATACTTTGGTATCATTTAACCTTGGGTTGTTTAGTTGATACAGAACAAATTAACAGTTATATTGGTCAAAATGCACATCACTACATATTATGTAGTGATGTGCATTATGGAATTCTAAAACATATAGTATCATAATGTAAAAAAATAAATAAAAAAGATATACAGTTGCAGACAAAAGTTTGCTCCCCTGTGGTGAAACTGAGAAATGGCTGGCTGTTGTCTGGTGTGGGTGTCCTGTTTAATCTCATTTGGGGAGGGAGCAAATATTTTTATCGTGACTGTACATTAAGTGCATTTCTTAACAACTATGGTGCTGGAAATGTCTTGGGATGTTCTACATCCTCCAGCAGATGACATCTTTGAAGCCTCAACAACAATATCTTTCAATGTTTTTTTTTTTCCCACATTTTTATACCTGTAATTCTTTTGGTTATTTTAATGGGAACTGTTGTTATATTTATTACTGGAAGTACATTTAATATTTGCCTGAAATAATTTTTTTCTACTCATACAGGTATCACCTTACTTTACAAACGTTCGAGTTATGGAGATTTGCTTATACGAATTTCCTATTCTTACACCTCTTTCTTATTACAGTATATGAAAGCTATTCTTGCTGATAAGAGTTTGGTTCCTTAAAGTAATGTACCAAATTTATATTTTATTAATTTTTTAATGTTACACTATATTACAATAGTTAAGTACTATACTGAATTACAGTATGGTAGTTAGGTGCTAATTTACAGCACAGTCTCTCCTCGACTTACGACAACCAGGAGTCTAGACGTTTGGTCGTAATGTCTAACGACGCCGTACGACAACTTCGGTTGGCTTACTGCCACGTGTGTACAGCATCCACGTTGTATCCCGCTCAGTTAATGTATTAAAAAGGTAAAAGTTTTACAATTATTACCTGCACCATGTAATATTTTCGTTGATTCGACTTACGACCTGGTAGCCGGAACGGAACCCTGTCGTAAGTGGAGGAGAAACTAGTACCTGTAGTTAATTTTTTTGTGAACCGATATAATTTATTTTAGTTGTAATATAGGGTTTTCTTGTAGTTAATTACTGTATTTCCCGGCTCATAAGACACTACAAGTGTTAAGACGCACCCGATAATTAGCAAGATATATTTTGGATTTTTTTTTTTTTGTGGATTAAATACCTTACTATATTGGCAAGCCCAGGTTGCTGGCTATATGCTATCATGTTTCTCACTACCACAGCTAACTATCACTTTATGGACCTATTATCAAACATTTGTTGGTATTATTAACCTCTTGGCTTCAGGGTATGATCGGCAACCCCCTCTCCCCCATGCAGGTATATTTGGGAACATTTAAAAAACAAATAAACAATTCTAATCTTACAAACTAGCCATGAAAACAACCAGGTTTCGATTTTTCCATAAAAATATACGTTTTGCACAAAGTTCAGACTTCTAAAACACTTTTCTTCAATGACATTTCTCTCGGAAAGTTATATTTTTTCGATTAATTTAATAGATAAAATTACCAACAATATTACTTGATTAAAGTGGGCAGGCCTTTGAAGTCGAGGGAAAATGTTGGGAAAACTACAAACAATAACACCAAGCAAACCTTTTGAAAACCTGACTTAACATTTCCTTACCTTTAAAAATCCTAAAACTATAAAAAGTTTACCGTATTCATGTTTTCGGTGTTCATAGTAGGTGATGGTGTTTTCATTTAGTATGTGTTCTTTTCGGTGTTCAGATGAGGAGGGATTCACAAACTAATGTGATTCTAACATTTTTACAAGTTAGGAAACGTTATGTCAGGCTTTCAAAGGGTTGGTGTGAGCCTGACCAGCCTAGTATGTAAAGTACCTGAGAGCATTATAAGAATGCCTTGATGGAACATCTACGAAATAACCTTGGAAAGGATTCCCAACACGGTTTTATGCCGGGACGCTCCTGTTTGATACAATTATTTAAGGTACTGGATGTTTGGACGGACCCAAATTCTGGAACAAGGTGGCAATATCGACAATATATACCTAGATTTTGCCAAGGCTTTCAACAGTGTACTCCGTGAAAGGCTGAAAATTAAACTGGAATGGTACAGGATTCAAGGAAATGTCCTAGCGTGAATCAGAGACTTTACACATGATCGCAAGCAGTGCGTGGTGATTAATGGTTCGAAATGTCATGTATACCCGTGACAAGCGGGATAGTGTATTGGGCCCATTGTTGTTTGTTTGCTTCATAAATGACTTGCCAGAAGCTATGCATTCCTCCATACAAATGTTTGCTGACGATGCCAAGTTATTTAGGGAAATTAAGAACCAACCAAACCGAGCAGAGCTGCAGGAGTGTTGTGACGGCTCCGAGTGGAAGCTCTTTCAAGACCAGACTTGACAAGCACTGGAGTAGGTTCAGATACATTCAGGAGCCAGTACATGCCCAGTAGTTGCCAACAGAGCGTAACAGAGACGTGACCGACCGCCCAAGCGGCTAACGAGCTGATCAGTGGCGAAGAGGATAAGCAGCTACGCCCGGAGTTTTAAACACCCCTCCTCCGTCGAAGAGGGTTTTCGTGTTTTAACCCGAGTTAAAGAAAAAAATAGTCCTGAAGAACACCACACTACAGTGCTTGACGGGGAGGAGTGGCGGTAAAATTAACTAATTCCAATAAAATTAATTTATGATATTGGAGTTAGTTAATTTTACCGCCACACCACCCCGTTAAGTACAGTACTGTAGTACGGTGTCCTTCATGACTCAAAAGTAAGAGGACGAGGAATAGGTCAGAAGATGAGGATGGGAAATAAAAACCACACGAAATGGAACACCTCACGAAAGGCTGAAAATCAAACTGGAAGGGTACGGAATTCGGGGAAATGCCCTTGCGTGGATAGAAGACTTTCTACATGACCACAAGCAGTGTGTGGTGATTAATGGTACGAAAGCGTCATCTGTACCTGTCATAAGTGGGGTACCACAGGGCAGTGTATTGGGCCGCTGTTGTTTGTTTTTTTCATAAATGACATGCCTGACGTTGTACACTCCTCCATACAAATGTTTGCCGATGACGCCAAGTTATTTCGGGTAATTAAGAACCAAGCGGACTGAGAAGAACTGCAGAGGGACCTCTGTGGGCTCCAGGAATGGTCGAAGAAATGGCTGCTGATATTCAATGTCACGAAGTGGAAGAGGATGCACCATGGGCGTACCAACGGTAAGGAGGCGTATCATATGTCTCAATGGAATGAAGAAACT